TTATATTTGTGTAATGAAATCAGTAATCATCTACTATAACGAATAATTCATTAACGCTATAACGAAGATTCTTATAACGAAGTCCTGATCGGCTGGATCGGCAACTTCGTTATATTAAGGTGTGACTGTATAGCATAGTACTCTCCTTAGACTAAAGTACCTCTCATAATATAGTACTTCTCCTACTTCACGAATTTGTAAAATATCCAGATATTTTAGTCAACCGTTTATGGTAATCCTTCCATTTTTAGGAATTTATTGATGTAATCTATATTATTTTACTACATATAAACAGTGATGGCTATTAGACCAATTGGCTTATAAAAACTCTGTCATTTGGACTATTGGACTTAATAATTTTATAAGTCTAATAGAATTCAATTTTATTAGACTTATAAGTATAACCAACACTGCATATAAAACTGCAATACCTATTAAACCTTTTTGTATACATTCATAAATCTCTAATAATATAATAATAAGAATATCTTCTAATTAATTATAAAGAAATAAATTTTAATGTTTCTAAAAAAATTTTCTAATATGATAAATAAATAATTACAATTGTTACAGATGCTGTATCTTAAAATATTTCAATAAAATATAAATTTATATATATTTTAATAATCTTTTAACTAATAGTTTTTATACAAAAATTCAGATTAAAATTAAATAGTATTTTTTGTAATTATTACAAATACATTTTAATTGAATATTAGAGCATAATTTACATTTTTTAAAATTAATTTTTGATAATCCATTTGAAAACTTTTTTTTTATCACTAAAATCAAAGTATTTTTAGAATATACTATATAATTTGTTGTATTTTAATTTCTTAAATATAAAAATTGCCTTTTTTTATTATCTAATATTAAAGAATGATATTTAAATAAAAAATAAAAATAAATAATTTGAAAAATGATTAAAATTTAAATTATAAATTAATAAATTATTATTTTTTACTTATTATAATTATTTTTTAAATTTATTATTTTTTTACAAATTTAACTTTTATATGAAAATTATAAATATAACTAATTTCTATTTTATTCAATATATTAATATTTTAATTAATTCTTAAAAGATTTTTATATTAATTCTATAAAAAAACAGATTTATCATATTATTAATAAAGAAAAATATTTATTTTATATATGACATTCTTTATATATTATTATCAGAAATATTTTTTTTTTACATATATTTGACTAAGTTACTTTATTGTAGCAAATAAGTTTCTTATTGTTAAACTTTACAGCCTTTAGGGAATCTTACATCCTATAAATATTCAAAATTTCTTAGAATTACTTTACTTAATTTTATAAACTTAAAGATTTAGGTTTTGAAGAACCCCAATTTATATATTTAAAATCATATAATTGTTTTATAATTATTATAATTATAAGTTACCATTTAGTTTTATTTTATACATTAATTTTTAATATTAAAAATTTGATTAATAAAATCTTATATTTAAAAAAAATTATATTTAATTCATAAATTTTTTATTTTATTTAAATTAAATAAGTTATTTATAATTAAAAATATAATATTTATTAATTTTTTTTTTTTAAAAAGTAAATTTTATTAACCAAATTTTTAATATTAAAATTATAAAGTTATTACATAAAATAATAAATTTATACTTTTTTTATTATTTATAATTTATTATTAATAATGTTTAAAAAAATATATATATTTAATTTTTAATTTTGATTTTTAAACTTTATTTATAAATTTTTATTTATTAAAAAAGTTATTAATTAAAAATATAATATTTATTAAAAAAATCTAACCAAATTTTTTAATAATATTTTTTTTTAAACTTAAAACTTAATACAGTCATACCTCTCTATAGCGAATTTTTATATAACGAATTTTTTGGACAACTATATTAAATTTACCCTCGTTATAATGAACTAGCCAATCAAATTCTTTAAAAAATTCACTATAGCTCTATAGCGAAGTTGAAGTTCAGAACATAAAATTCGTTATATCAAGGGTTGACTGTACTTTACTTTATTAAATTTAAAATAAAATATAAAAATTTGATTAAACATAAATAATTTAATTTACTTATATTTAAAATTTATATTTTAAAAAACATATAGGAAGTTTGTTAGGAAAATGGGATTTAAGAATTTATTAATAAAATTTTATTGCATTTTAATCTAACATTATCAAGAATTAAAATGCAATAAAAATTTTATTAATAAATTTTCAAAGCCCTATCTACCTAACAAATCTCCAATATATTTATATTATTTATTATTATATATATTATATATATAAAAATTTTATTATAAAACTTATTTAATTTTTAATTAAAATATTTTTAATATTATATAAATTAAATTAATTTATAATTTAATAAAATATTATTATATAATTTATCAATTTTATAATTAAACTTATTAATTTATATTTAAAAAATTCTAATATATAAAAATTAATAATATTTATATAAGAATTATAATTTTTTAAAATATTATATTTTTTTTAAAAATGTTTATTAATAAAATTTGTAATAATATCTTACATCAAAAAAAAAATTAATAATAATTAATAATTTAAACATTTATTGAAATTTAATAAAGAATTTTGTAATTATATTATAATAATTATAAATTAAAAATTGATAGAAATAAAAAAAGCTTATTAATATTTTTCTTGTTAGTTAAAAAAATAATAAGAGATTTTTATTATTATTAAAAAAAATCTCTAAATAAATTTTTAATTTTTTTTTAAAAAAATTTTAAATGAATTTTATTTAAAAATAATTTGTTTTAAAAAAAATGTTTTACAGTAAAAAGTAATTTATAATTTTTTGTAAGTAATAATTTATCTAAGTAATTTTCTTTTTTTTTAAAAAAAAAAATATAATTATCATTATAAATTTTCTTTAAATAATCTCATTTAATATTTGATTTATGTAAATTTTATATAACTTTAAACCCTATGTTTTAAATGTGAATTGTTTAATAAACCTTTAAATTATAACATTATAGACATTTCACTTTTGATGGATCGAATTTTCTTTTTATAAAGTTGTTGTCTACTATTTTACAAGTTTTCAAATATAAATTAAATTATCATTTATTTATTTTTCAAAACATTTATATTCGAGCATCTTAATAAAATATTGTAATTATCTATATAAATAGATATTCACCGTTTTGTATATTTATTTATTTTTTTCCAACGAAATTCCGAACGTGTTAAAAAAACTCTGAGGTTTCGGTTCGACTCCAATTAAATAACATCACAATTCACATGCTTACCAGATATAGGTTAACAGTAACATGGAATTAAAACCGAGAAGTGTTTATTTGAATAATTTCCATTATTTGTATTAACGTACTAGTCCATATACTAGTTATTCCAAACCACAAGAAAAACGCCCTGCTTCTTACCTGATGATGTTCAGATGTTCTTAGTATTAAAGAGGCAAAGTAAAAGAGAGAGTGTGACCACATAATAAATGTTCTCTCGAATTCTGGGTGATACTAATAATAAACATTTGCAACTTAAGTTTGCAAATAAATCAATGGCGAAACACGAATTCGGATTATAATTAAACCGGATCGAATCTGAAAAATTGATGATCCTAAATTGACCTAATGTATTAAAAAGTTGAAAGTTTCAAAAAAGGTATAACCCATGCAATTTGTTTTATTTAGGTAGTCAATAATATGAAACATTATTAAAAAAAGTCAATTCATGCATGTGGATTAAAAAGTTCCATTAGAGACAATTTCATAACAAAGTATTGTCTATAATCATTAAATGATTTTTCCATTCCAAGAACTTTCAAATGAATGAATTTATTGGGCAAAACTTGATAACGATAATAAAAAGGATTTATAACCTGATTTTTTTTTGCTACAAATTTATTTTTCCACAGTCACAATCCGTAAGATCCCGTATTGTGCAAAAAAAATTTTTTTTCTTTATTAATTTTGCACTACTTTTTCGGTAATTAATTTAAATATAGACGCTAAAAATGGTCAAAACTATAAATAATAAATTTTTGTATTTCTGTGTCATCAATCCATAGAGGGTTAGATTTTAAGTTGGTGACCCTGTCACAGTAACAGAACATTCTTATGCAACTCCTTTAACGATTAATGTAAAATAATTTAATACACATGATCTGAAACCGAGATACATAAAAAAAACAACACATCTTTCCATTAATGAAATGATAAAATAAGGGTTAACTTCTGAAGACCTAAAAAATATTGTAAAAAATTATTGATCAGGCTGGTTATGGGAGGTATATTTATTTTTACGAATACTTACAATTCCTTTTTACCAAACAAATGATATGTAAATATGTAAAAGGCGCAATAGTGTATATTACAATTAATTTTATACTTGTATCTTTCGAAGCCCCAACCGAATTTGGCAAATCAGGATATAGACGGCAATAATGAAAAAGGCTAGGCTCGTGTTACAGCCAACAAATATCTGCGGACAGGAGTAAAATAAATATATATATATAATTTTTTTTTTTTTTATATTTTTTAGTATTAATAGCGGATATTTCATTTTTAAAAATTTAAATCTCTATATTTTTTTTTTTTTTTGAAGCGTGAATATATATGATATAGTTTGACGTGTTCTTAATTAAAATAAATGATTTTAAAATAATAAAATTTATGATCAAAGTTATCAAAAAAAAACTCCCCAGAATTTGTTATAATTAATATATTTATTAATAGGGAATTAGAACAGCTTTTTCATAATTCTTTCGTTCGTTCGTCAATCCAACGTAAACATCATGTTTCCTTCATATATTCGATGTATTCGAATTATTTTATTATTAGTAATAGTTTTTAATAATAATTTGAGCATTGTAAAAGGACAAGAACCACCATTTCCATTTAGTATAGCGCAATATATTCAAATTACAGATAGTTTAGCAACTTTAAGACAAATATTAGCTTATCCAGGATTAATCGAAGTATTTACATTATTGGATGGAAACGCATCATTTACACCAACCACCGGAGGACAAAAGATTACATTATTTGCACCGTCAAATGAAGCGTTAATTTCATCAGGAATCGATTTATCAAATGTTGAGTTTATGTCAAATTTAATCAAATATCAAACATCTCCAGGTTCGTTACACACCCAAGAAAAAAAAAATTTTTTTTTTTCGTTCAAGAAAGAAACAAAATTAAATTTATTTTGCATTAAATAGTTGCGGTACATTCCAAGGAAATAGCGCCGTATTTAATTGTAAAAACATTGTTAAATGATCCATTGTTGGTTCAATTACCAGCTGGGGAAGGACAAGTCCTTTATTTAACCAAGGCTTTGGGGGGAGATATCATCACAGTTGGTAATGGCAATTTATCAGCAAAAGTTATAAAAAAAGATATTGAATGTTCCAATGGAGTTGTACATATTATCGACGCAGGTAAACTTTAATCTTGCAAAGCTTTTCTCTGAAATTAAACCTGCGCTAATCCTTTTCCCTTTCGTTGAATTAGTTATAATGCCACCTGTCTCATTAATTAATACGGCAGATAATTTAGCATTAACGCAATTTACACGTGCATTCACAGATGCAAATTTACTAACTGACGCTAATATAATAAAAGGGGTAACAATATTCGCACCAACAGATGATGCATTTAATAAACAGAATATTTTGGCAATGGATGCAAAGGGAAAGAATTCATTATTACCACTTCACATAATTAACACATTAGTATATGATATTAAAGATGATACGAGCATCCAAGCGAGTAACGGAGAGAAATTGGATTTTATATTGAAAAATGAAGGAGGATTAAATATTACAATTTATGTTAACAATGCAAAAGTGGAACGATCAGTATTGTTAGAAAATGGAGTAATGCATGTTGTTAATAACGTACTATTGCCATTAGGACAAGGAGGAGAAGTAGTACATGATGATGATGACAAAAAAGGACCAAAAGATGATAAAAGTAATGATAAAACAAAGAATAATGCGAATATAAATTCCGAATATAAACACACAGACAAGAAATTGGTAATCGGTGCCGTTTTGGGAGGAGTTTGTGGTGGAATTGTTGTAACATTATCATCTTGTATGTTATATAAATGGTTCAGAGCGCAAAAAAATAGTAAATTCAATTCTCCAACTCCCGTCCATCTTAAAAGCAATGCATAAAAGAATATTCAGAAGGTAAAATGTAAATATTAATAGTAGTGAAATATCTAGTAGACTAAATTATAATTATATGTACTATTAATTTTTATATTATCTTATATAAATATCAACAAAATATAAAATTTTGTTTTAAAAAAAACTAATATCATAGTAAAAGAATGTTTCTCTCTCTCCCTTGGTTGAAAAGCAAATTTTTTTAAATTCAACATTTTCTAATTAGATTTCAATAGTAAGTTTGCTGCGGCTATCAAGTTCATGGGAACTGGCAGCGGTTGAAATTTTTGAGAAACATAGTGCTATAATGTTAAAACTTTGATTCATGTTCTTTGATATTTGCTTATATTAAATATATGAAAGTAATTATTTAAAGTAACTAATCATCTTGCATTTTTTAAATTTTTAATACATCATTCATTTATCCTGATTTGAAGTTGTATGATGAACCGCACATACATTACATACATGCATCTCAAAAGCACCGAAAGTGGAAATGTAGAAATGTAATGTGTCAATCATGTATGAGTTGATCACGTGATAATTGAAACGTTACATTCTCATTTTCTATTGCAGCTATTTTATTATAAATACCAAAAAAAAATAAATTAGATATTGTTCTTAAAATATAAAACAACTTTTAGTATTATTTCCGAGTATCTATTCTCTTGATAACAAATCAATATTCAACTAAACAGGGGTTGATTTAATTTCAGTTTTAGGTTAACTGTTAGGATCCAAAATTACTATATTTTTAGGTAAAATCTTTTGAATAACTAGAGGGATATCTAGATATTGAACAATATCATAACAATTTTTTGAAACATCCAATTTGACTTAAAATATCGAAAATTATCATGATAAAAATGCTGAATTTTACATTGATATATGTGCTTTCGAGAAAATCGCAATTAGCGTGATATCAAAAATAAACTTTATCACCTGGAATGAAAATTTGCTCGAGACCATTAGCTTTCTTATTGTGTCTTTTATCCCTTAATCTGTGTAACGAAAAGTAATACATGTCCCTTATTGAAAATTTACAAATCCGGTAGGCAAATATAAATGATCATTCTCTAAAAGGTTAGGTCGGCATTCATGCAATAAATAATTCTATGGTTTCGATTTTAAATTACGTTTCAATTTTGCGGAAAATATTTTTGTTGTACTAATGTATTTTAGCATAATTATATTTATATAATATAAATTACAAAAACAAAGTTGTTTATCTTTTCAATTTAGTATTTAAATTACTTGCTGGATCAATAACGAATTAGTACCAGTTATATTTGTCGAAGAGACATATGGTGAGCTCACTTGTAAAAATATTTACCTAAAAAGCTGACAAAATTGGGTGCATGTTCCATTACTGATTAACTTGTAACTTTGTTTTAAACCCCTAAGCAATAATTAACTTAAAAACTAACTAAACTTCTAATAATAAATAACAAAGTATAAACTAATATTTTTATTTAAAGCAATTAGTTAACTTAAATATAATTAGTTATTAATTTATTAATTTATTTTATTAAAATAATAAATCTATAAATTATTTTAATTGTAATAGTAAACAAACTAAAGTAGTTAAAATTATATTACTTTAACATAATTTTTATAATTTTGAATAATTTATCTTATATTTTTAATTAACATTTATTTATTTAACTTATTAAAATCATTTAAATAATAATAGTTATTTCATAAGATTATAAATTGTTTCTAAGTAATTTTCTTTAAAAATCATATTTCTTTAAAAAGTACTTTGTAATAATACATAAAATTATAAATTATAAGATTTAATAAACTTACTTTTAATATATATATAATAATAAAATATTATATATAAAAATTAAAAGGTAAATTTATTCTAATATAATCATGTTATTAATATTTTTTTGATTAGTTATTTGGGTTATTTGTCATTAAAATTGAATTAATATAGTATATCATATAGGAGATTTGCTAGAAAAATGGAGTTTTAAGAATTTTTTAATAAAATTTTAATTTGTATTACATATTAATTTTAGATTAAAATATCAATAAAAATTTTATTAAAATTTCTTTTTCTAGTAAACTTTCTACAATCAGAACTTAATATAGTAAATCTTGCAGTATACTATGAATTTTTTAAAAAAAATTAGTTTATCAAAATTTATAAGTTCTATATAATGATTTTTAAAATCAAAATTTTTAAAAAATTGTTTTAACAAGATTTTATTAAATGATCATTATATCAAGAATCATTATATTAAATTTTGATTGTATATGATCTGTAATATGATTTTAATAATAATCTATTTATTTATTAAAAAAAATATATTATATAAATTAATGATACTTGTTAAAACCATTTTTCATTATCTTAAACCAGATTTATCAACATTAGGTTTTTGATTTTATCATAGGTTTTATTAAATAACTTGATTTTTCAAAAATTAGTTTTATTAAATTTTGGCATTTTAAATAACATTATTAATGTAAATATAATAAATAAAGATAAATATCTTAATTATAGAATTATAAAATTATGTTACAATATAAGACCTTTACAATAGAAAGGAGTGAAATTGCTAGGAAAAATCAAATTTAATTTTATATGCTAAATATGATTTTAGGTTGAAATATGTTTACCAATTTTTTATTTTTCTGGCAGTTTCTTCCCTTTCTATTGCAAAGGTCCTATATTATATAAATTATTTATTAATAATTAAAAGTTGTAACTTAATTAGATTTTTATACATTAATCAAAATGATACAATTTAGCCAATAATCAAATATTCAAAATGTGTTTAAATTATAGCTGAATTATAATAAATTTGGTTTAATTCCTATTAACACAATTCAATATTAATAGGAATAATTCAGACATAACAATTCAAATACAATTTGACCTAAAAATTAAGCCTAAAATAAATCTAAATTTAATCACAATTAAGATATAATTTAAATACTTAAAATTAATCACAATTCAATTACAAATTAACTATAAATCAAATATAAATCAAACACAATTTGCTAAAAATCAATCTAATTAAACCACTTAAAATTAATTATAAATTGCAAACCAGAACTAATATAACAAATTTAAATTTATTATTTTATATAGAGATATTAAACGATCCTAAACAGTCCTAAAAGTCCTAATAAATTTGCCAGTTCTAGAGAAGATTTTTATTTTACTGGCATTATATTTTACTTTCTAATGATAATTTATTAATTGAATATAAATTAAAAAAATATATTAAACTTATGCGAGAACCCAGAATTTTAATTTTTAAAACTTAGGATCCAGTCCTAAGAACTGGGTTCTACCTTGACGGTCACATATTAATTGTCGATTTCAAAATTCATATTTCTTTTATAAGTTATTCATAAAATTTATTATTACAATTATTTATCAAGGGTTACTTATTAAAGATAAGCGATTAGACTTTTCTATAACTTGTAATTTCAATATTTGTTTACAGTCATTTGGGACCATTTAACATTCCTAATTTTGCATAAATGTTAATTTTAAATTCTTTAAATGCAATATATAGAGATACCCATAGTAAAAGAAAGATAGGTTAACTAATTAAAATTTGAGATTTTTTAACAATCAGGATTCATTGATCTTATCTATCTAGAAAATCTTTTTTTTATTTTTTCAATAAATATATTATGTAAGTAATGTGAATTTTTTATTATAAATATTACAAAACCTGTATAATTTTTATTTTAATTCTAGCAAAAAAAAGGAATATGATATCTATTCTAATAATGATAATATAAATAAGGCTATTTGGATACTTAGAGAATTTAAATAAACTTTTTTTGTTAAAGATTCAAATTTTGAAGATGAATAAGTGCCTAATTTTATACCTAATAAAGTTGAAGAAATATTTGACTTTAATGATAATATTAACTTAAATAGATTTGAATTTATAGAAATTCCTAATAGTTATATTAAAAATAAAGTTTATAATATCTTAAAACTAAAAGTCAAAAAGTTTTTTAAGAAAGGAAAGTATTTATGTTATTCAAAACAATCTTGTTTAAATAAATTGGTATAAACAGTTTCTTACATGTTAAGCTAAATTTGAGAGTTTGGATAAAAAAATGTGAAATATGGTTATTAAAAATAGCTACTGGTTTTTAAAAGAATAAAAATAAAAAAAAAGTTAATAATAGTAATAAAAAATATTTGTATTTTAATTATTATTATAATCATAGAATTTCAATTTGTCATAATATATATCAGACTCTTATTGAAATCAGTCATAAGTATTAATTTTGTTAAATATTTTTTTAAAAAATATAAAAAAATATTAATATATTTTTACATTTGATTATTTACAAAAAAAAAAGATACTAATATAATTATTTTAACTGCAGAATTTAAAATTATAAGTTGCGATAAATCTGCAAATCAGATGACTGCTAATACAATTATGAAAAACGTTTATAACTTTACAACTGTTAATTTAATCATAATAAAATTTTATAAACACATATTTTCGAACCTATTGAACAATTTTACTTGTGTAATTAAAGTTGATTTCTTTTGATCAAAATACTTATATTGTTCTTTGAAGTTACTATACAGATAAAAAATAAAAATAAATAAATTTGTAAGATAATACAATTATGAAAAATGAGCATAACTTTAGAATTATTAATTCAATTATAATAAAATTTTATAAGCATATATTTTTAAATTCGTTAAATAACTTTACTTATGCGACCAAAGTTGATTTTCTTTGACTAAAATAATTAAATTGCTCTTTGAAATCACTATACATATAAAAAATAAAAATAAAAATATTTTGTGAGATAATACAATTAAGAAAAATTTGCATAACTTACAATTATTAATCTAATCATAATAAAATTTTATATACACATATTTTCAAATCTGCTGAATAACTTTATATATATAACAAAAGTTGATTTCCTTTGACAAAAATACTTAAATTGCTCTTTGAAGTCACTGTAAAATAAAAAATAAAAATAAAAAATTTGTGAGA